ACCTACCTACCTACCTGCCTACCTTCATGCATACCTACATGCGTACATACATGTATACATACATACGTATATGTATATATATATATATACATAATGCATACGTACATACGTACATACATACATACATACATACATACATACATACATACATGCATACATACATACATACATACATACACATACATACCTAGAAGTTGTACGTTGCGACATACTTCCATCGCGACTTTGTAGCTAGCTGGCTCTTAGGAACCTGAGATCCCATGATGACTTCATCCCCTTGAATTTTTCGGGTTTAGGATTTGCAGGCGTCGTCCGGGCAAATCGCTAAGGATGCGCATTGCGGGCACGATTCCGGGCGAGGAGGAGTTGCGAGCTGGCAGCAAACGTTCTCAGAGCAGCGCATCCTCGCAGCCACGGAGCCGTGCCGACAGTGGGGCCCCTTGGTGAGGGACTTGCATCCAAACCTTTAGAGGGTTCTTGGGTGACTGCAGGTCTTCGACTCCCTGTTCTAGGTCTAGTTGTCACCGCGACAGAAGTCAGAGCCCCGCTGGAGGCTGCCTTGGTATTTCTTTGAGCTTTTCCCGGAAGGGTTTAGGGGTAGGGCTTGCTCTCGGGAGCCACCCTGAAACCGTGAGAATATGAGTGCCGCTGTAGCTATTAACAACTTCGAGATTTTCCCGAAGAGTGAGAACGCACGACCGGGGTGTGCAACTGAGTTAGACTATCCCAAACACGAAGCCCACATCCTAATTCCGAAGATCCCCCGTCAAAGGCTTCTGGGGCCTCCTCCATGCCGGCGAGTTGGTGGTCCCGGCGGTCTGAGTTCCACGAGCGGACTCAGGCCGATGATGTCAGTGTTTCTAGCTTTAGGGGTTCATGACAATATTCAGGATTAAGGGCTTGTGCGTTTTTGCGCGGAGGTCCAGAGGTAGATTCATGTGTCCTGCAAGCTGATGGTTTCTGGGCCTGCCATTTCGACTGCGATGAGTTCATCCTGTTTACACCCAGCCCTTCAGTTGTGCCCTTCTTTGAGGTGCCGGTGGTGGGGGTTCTCCTGGGCATTCGGGAAGATCTGAAGCAATACTACTGTTGATGCGATAAATCCTGCATTACCTTGAGGAAACTAAACTATGGGAATTATAGTATATTCCTTATTATGGGTAGTTTCTGGAGTCATGGACATAGCTCTCGGCCATGTCCCGGCTCAAAAGCCCTTGATGCAGACACCCGAGAAGAAGAGGAGGCCTACTGAAATCGAAATCAACCCTTAAATCCTATAAGCCTAAGGCTTTCATGTTATGCGTACTGGCTGCCATGCAGGAGCCAGAATATTATGCATATTAGATCCGAAACCTGAAACCGAAGTGTGAGCTCCGAGACCGTAAAGCCCTAAACCCTGGAAGCCTCTATGGTGAACCCTACCTATAGTCTCCATTGTAGTTCCTTCATTGAGTTACTTCACAGGATCCTAAAAATCTACACTGGAGACTCCAGGTAAATCATGAAACCTAGACCCCGAACCCCTAAAGCCCTGAACCCTAAAACCCCTAAACTCCAAAGTCCAAAGTCCTAAGGCCCGAAACCCCAAAACCCCTAAAGCCCAAAACCCCTAAACCTCGAAATCCTAACTGCTCGAAGAGGACACCTGGGACCGGCCCCGGCCCGGGCGCGGGGAGAAACCCGCCCAGGTCCCACCGCTTCGGGTGCTGGGGTTCAGGAGCTCGTGGGTTTAATGTGGGGGCCTTAATAATTAGAATAGGGGTTTTGGGGTCCATTATGCTATGATTATACGTTATAAGAAGGAACCCGCAAAACCCTATTCGAACTGTTGAGGCCTCTATATTAGGGGGATCTGCAAGGGTTTAGGGTCTTGGGGTCCTTTAAGGGGATCTAATTCGGGTTCAGGGTTCCAGGGTTTATGTAAGGATTGAGGTTCAGGGATAAGATATGGGGGTCGGTATGACACAGTTATAGTGGTACATAGTGGTACAGCTTTACTTAATATAGGGGCTTTAATAATCAGAATAGGGTTTTGGGGCCATTATACTATAGTTATAAGAAGGAACCCGGACTTTCTGGTGCCTGCAAGAAACCACGGGCTTCAGCGCTTAAAAGTCTCTTCGAGTCGAGCCCGTGCACCCTGAAGCTCACCCACATCGTCCTACTTCCGAAGATTTAGTGCTACTCACTTTGCACAGTAGACTTTTGTCAAGGGCCCCTTCTTACGAACCACAAGCACGAGCTCCCCAAAGCGTAGGGGTCGGAATAAATGCTAACAGTATCCCCATATGGCCCCGGTAATAATCTACTACAACATACACCACAGCCCTATTCTAATGATTTAGCCCCCTCATATGAGCTATACCACACGAACCTGGTATCCGCAGGCCCTGACCAATCCAAGCACACGCATGTAAAGCCTAGGCCCTAAACCCTAAACCTTGAAGCAACAGCGCGTCGCAGCTCGTAGCTCCATTTTTGGGGTGGAAGACGCGCAGGCGAAAGCAAAGCCCAGCTTCGAGAGAAGAGAATCTTTCGATGAGAGCTTCCCGGCAGTTTAGGGCGTGGGGTTTAGGGTTTCCCTAGACTCTAAACCCTAAGCGGCCCTAAACCCTAGACTGCAGTAGGAATTTGGATTTTCGGGGCCAGTGAGCGGAGTTTTACGGGCGGTTTGGTTTTGGCGAGCTGTTGTTCCGAGTTTAGGAGTCTGGGGCAATGTGAGGTGAGAGTTTAGGGTTCAGGGTTTGGGTTCTCAAGTTTTCGACCAGTGGTTGAAGAGTTCGAATTCTCCAGATCTACCACGCCTTTGTGGTCTCAGAAGTTATCTTACGAGTAGCCTTTTCTTGCCTTCAAGGATGTTGGATATGCTTGGGTGCTGGATTTGGGGAGTTTGGTTCACTGAACTTCTATATTCAGCTTCGACCGTGGGTGCGTGTTTCGTGCTGGTTGCTAGTCACAGCTATGGCTCTACGTAGGGTTGCTGTTTTTCAATACTTACGGCCTAAACCAAGCGAGCAAGCCAAGTGTTGAAGAACTTCCAGCTGCTCAGATGCTGTGCGGGAGCGCTCCTGAGGTATGCCACGCTCCAGGGGCAGCCGAAGCAAGGTGGGGCTTGGGGTCCAAGTAGCCCAGCCAGCATAGAACCACCGCTTCGGCACCCTAACCTCAAGCCGCACATCATATGCAGCGCAGGCCGCATTGAAACACTCGATCTGAAAGCCATCCCACGCCCACAGACATTTTATCTCGAGATTCCCACCAAACGGCTTATCGAATTTCCATGTTTGCCGGTATGACGCAACTTTCTGTTATGTGCTTGCCTAAGTAAGTCCAGATCTCAGGTGTTGCCAGGCACCCTTTTTCCATTGATATCTCGTCATGGCGCACGTTCCAGTGCCAAAACTTGCACCATTGACTCCTTATTGACAGGGTAGGTAGATAAATTTCAACTTTCAACACAACAGAAACAACATCATCTGCGTTGATGGAGCCGAGGGTGGACCACAACTGCTGTATGCTCACCACGTGGGAAATACATGTATAAACATACATATCCGGGATATGCACGCATGCATACATACACACATATAAACCTATGAACATATATATATATATATATATGTAAGCTAATTATGTATGTGGGAGTTTCCGAAAAAATGGGGTACCTTATTTGGTGTTCTTTATAATCAGGATCCTACTATTTAGGGGTACTGTATTAGAGTCCCTATTCTGAAATCCCCATGTATGTATGTATGTACGTATGCATGCATGCGTATGCAGATGGCACCAGTCTCAGAGTATGAGTCACCACGGTGTCAGAATTCAGCTGCTGGTTTGACATATCATTATAATGTTTGCAGAACAGTCCGCAGTGTTGATAGCTGTGGCATTAAGACCAGAGCCCTCGTTCTGGATTCTGTTGTTGCCAATCGTCCTCTTGTCCTCGCCGTTGCCGATGCAATTCACACATGTTGCTACTGCTGCTGCAGCTGTTTGCTGCCGCTACTACTACTACTACTACTACTACTACTACTGCTGCTACTACTACTACTACTGCTACTGCTACTACTACTACTGCTACTAATATCACTACT